ACATTGGAATTATGTTCTTGGCAAAAATATTGACTGTGCCATGGGCTGGCAGAGAGTGAACAAATGTGTCTTGGAACAAGTATAGCCAGATGCCCCTTGGAAGTGATGTTGCGGAGACTTGATGTCATGTACTTTGGAAGTGTTATCAGGCTCTGGAGAAAGGGCATTCTTCCTGGAAAACGAGGGTCCTCCTTCAGTAGGACGGAATAGCACAGAGGCTGCAACAGCGGGCTCAAGCTAGCAATGAGTATGAGGGTGGGGCCAACTGAATGCTACCTGACAACAAAAACCTACCTCAACGAGAAAACTACCTCCTGCAAGGTATACTTACAGTGACTTGAGTTTGACGAGATAATCAAATTGGTTTTCTTCTATTTTCTGGATTGGATTATAGGAAAGATTCCTGTTTTTAAAAAAAAGTCAGCAATTAGGGTATTTACTAGAAATTGCCTGAGTGCAAAGAAAGTGTACCCGTTGGCTCTGGGTTTCTTCTTTCAAAATTACCAAGAAAGTACAATAATAGCACTTTTTCCCATGGGTCTGATTGGGTATTTAAAGGATTAGATAAAACAAAATGATGATGGCTCTTAGTTCATACTCTATGATTTGTGTTTATGATGGAGGGGAGCTGAGACAACATGAGCAACAAGGCAGAAATACTACTAGCTTCCACTAGATACTGTACATACTCTAGTATAAGCTGAGTTTTTCTGCACATTTTTAATGCAGTTCTTTGGTAAAATTAGGTGCCTTGAAAAAAAAAAATTAGGTGCGTTGGCTGATATTCGGATCGGCTTATACTCTAGTATATACGGTAAGTGGTAGGGTACCAAGAAGCCACACTCACTTCACATTTATTCCTAGAATTAGGTTTAAATGGAATAAAGGTGAAAGGGAAGAATTTTTGTTAGCTAATATTTGAAGCAATAGAATCATGCTAATTTAAAAAAATAATAAATCTCATTTCAAAGAATGACATATTACACTAGTGATTTGTGAGGTGTGCAATAAAAAGGAAAAGGCTTTAATTAGGGACAAAAAAATCATAAATCAGAGTGAATGTACAGTTGAAGTTAAAGAGAGACAATTTCAGAGTCTGA